TAAGGTTTTTAGTCTTCGAGAGCTAACTATGGCCATCGAGGACTACGAAGCGCCCCGTGGCTGGCTTAAAAGTTCATTGCATGCCAGGAAGTATTTGTTATTGTTAGATTCAGACGAGGATGGACGTTGCATTGCTAAAATGGCTACAAAACGGACCTTTTGATGTCAAGCAGCTAAGACAAGAAGAGCTCTGATGCTGGAAGAGAGGGTAAAAGTGATCAAAATGAAAGACGGAGGAAGCAAAATAAAAGACATTATCCAAGAAATTGATGTAAGTGAAAGTGAATGCTGTTCGTGAATTTCGCAATTTCTTTCCCTTTTTTTCTTTCTACACTGACAATATGAAGTGTCAAATAAGTGTGTGCTCATACTTATGTACTATTGGAATAAAAATAGAGTACACAAACGTTTGTGTGTGCGTGTACACATACGTTTGTGTGTGTGGGTGTGTGTGTGCTTACATCTGAGATCAAATTTGCTACAGTGAAAAAACCCCTGTTGTGAAAAATTTCTTGCTGCAAACATGATTTCGTTGTAGAGGAGTTTCACTGTACAATAGTACCGTATTTTCCAGAGTATAAGTCGCAGTTTTTTTCATAGTTTGGCCGGGGGGGTCGATTTATACTCTGGAGCAATTTATGTGTGAAATTGTTAACACATTATTGTATCATTTCACATGTTGTTTTCACATTAAACCGCAGGAGGGCGCTCTAGGCCTGTGTTGATGATTTCTACATTGGTGGGAGTAACTTAAAATAATACTACCGGTACTAAATAAAAACAACTGAGAAGGGTTGAACAAAAATGGCACCGAAAAGATAATCATATTCTGCAGATTACAAACTGCAAGTAGTGAAATATACAGCCAATAACGGTAATCGAACAGCAGAAAGAAATTGTGGACCATCCTGTCAAACTACAGGGTGAACACCCTGTAGTGACCCCCAACAACACCCAAGCAGTGAACAATAAGGGTCTGGCGGCCCACCTCTACCAGAAACTACTCTATCAACGCCCCCGCCCTCATTCTCTGCCCTTCAGATCCATGAACAGGATGTTAGACGGCTCTTCAAGTAGGAGAAGATCAAGAAATCTGCGGGGCCGACAAAGTGTCCCCCTCCTGCCTGAAAGTCTGCGCTGACCAGCTGGCTCCAGTCTTCATACAAATCTTCAACAGATCCCAGGAGCTGTGTGAGCTCCCATCTTGCTTCAAACAGTCTACCATCATCCCAGTTCCCAAGAAACTAGCAACATCGGAACTGAACGACTGTAGGCCTGTCGCTCTGAAATCTTTTGAATGCCTTGTGCTGAACCACCTAAAGAACATCACCGGACCCCTGCTGGACCCTCTGCAGTTTGCCTACCAGGCAAACAGGTCTGGGGAGGATGCAGTTAACAGGACTGCACTACATCCTCGATCACCTGGACAGCACAGGGACCTATGCAAGGATCCTGTTTGTGGATTTCAGCTCTGCGTTCAACACCATCATCCCGGAAACCCCTCACCCCCAAATTTCTCCAGCTCGGTGTGTCCCCTATGATCTGCCAGTGGATCCTCAGCTTCCTGACGGGATGGACACAACAGGTGAGGCTGGGAAGGACAACATCATCAACACGCACCACGAGCACTGGAGCCCCGCAGGGATGCATCCTCTCTCCACTGCTCTTCTCCCTCAACACGAACGATTGCACCTCAACACACCCAGCCGTCAAACTCATAAAGTTCGCAGACGACACAACAGTCATTGGTTTCATCAAAGACAGCGATGAGTCTGCGTACCGACAAGAAGTGGAACAGCTGGCGCTCTGGTACAGCCAACACAACCTGGAGTTGAACACGCTTGAGACGGTAGAGAGGATCATGGACTTCAGGAAACGTCCTTGTCCACAACTGCCCCTCACACTATCCAAATGCCCTGTGTCAACCGTCAAGACCTTCAAGTTCCTGGGAATCACAGTCTCCCAGGACATGAAGTGGGAGGTCAACATCAACTCCATCTTGAAAAAGGCCCAGCAGAGGATGTACTTCCTGAGGCTGCTGAGGAGGCATGGCCTGCCACAGGAGGTGCTCAGACATTTCTACACAGCAGTCATCGAATCAATCCTGTGTTCTTCCATCACGGTTTGGTTTGGGGCCGCCACAAAAAAAGTACAAAATCCGACTGCAACGGACAGTTAGGATGGCGAAAAAAATCATTGGCACCGCCCTACCCACTCTTGAGGACTTGCACACTGCAAGAACCAAGACAAGGGCACGGAAAATCTTACTGGACGCCCCCACACCCCATCCACCACCTTTTCCAGCTATTCCCCTCAGGCAAGAGCTACCGATCCATGCGCACCAAATCCAGCAGACACTCAGCTTCTTCCCTCTAGCCATTAACTCCCTAAACATTAACACAAATCTCCTTGTATCGTGGCTCATTGCAACCTTGCAATTTTGCACAACCCTGTGGAACAGCATTACCGCTATAATCATTGTAGCTCCAGCTCTGTACTTACTTGAACCACTGTCAGTGATCTATATTCCACAGGACCAGACACTTTAAAGCGCACAAGGACATCTGCACCCTTGCACACTTTTTGTACTACAAATACTGCTACTGGTCATTTTCAAATGATGCAATGATTTTCTGCACCAACTGTTAGTATTGTATTCTACCACTGATCACTTTAGCTCTGCCTGACTGGTACTCGTAAGAAGGAGCATATAACTCCTCCTCTAGCATCCCTTCACTGGCTCCCGATACATTTTAGAGTTCTTTTTAAGATCCTATTCTTTGTTTTCAAATCTTTAAATGGCCTCGCACCACCTTACCTCTCTGAGCTCATCCGCCCCTACACACCTGCCCGGCGCCTCAGATCTGCGGACCAGACATTATTAAAAGTACCAAGAACTAAGCGGAAGCTTGGAGGGGATCGAGCCATTTTCCGTTGCTGGTCCCTCTCTTTAGGATGACCTCCCACTGAACATTCGAGGCCCCCTTACTGCCCATCTTTAAAACTCGTCTCAAAACTCATTTGTATTTTATGGCATTTGACATGGCATGACTCAGACTTGATCTTAGTCTTACTGTTTGGTGCTTTCTGCTGTCTTTGTTACTAATTTGTTGTTTTATTGTTGTATATATGGTATTTGCTCAATGTACAGCACTTTGCATACAGCGATGGTTGTCCAGTTGAGTTAATACTTTGCACATTGTCTCACAGCTGTCATTGGGTGGTACCATCGCACAACGGTACCCTTACATTACCGAATGTCGTTCCATACTTATTGTCATGTATTTGTTTATGATGATACTAGTGTAGCATGTACTACCGGAGACAAATTCCTTGTGTGTTCTAAATACTTGGCCAATAAAGACGATTCTGATTCTGATTCTGAAAGGCTGGAATCATTGGAACTGCAACTGACGTTGACTCTGACGTAAGCGAAGAAGAAGAGGAAGTGACACATTTTGTACGTCCAGAGTTGGCGTAGTTGTTTAAAAGTGAGACAGAGGATGAAGATTTCATTGGATTTTGTGATTTGGAGTGGCACTAATGGTTTGATAAACCATTTGTTAGCATGTTCTTTCTGCTATAGTTATCTGAATAACACTTAATATGTTACGTGAACATACTAGGCAGGTTCTCCGTTCATTGTTTATGCGTCATGTAACGTTAGCATATCGTACTTATTCAGACTGTTGTTCTCTATTCTATTTTTATTTTAAATTGCATTTTAAGATGACAAGCCTGTTTTTTGGTGTTGGATTTTATCAAATACATTTCCCCCCAAAAATGCGATTTATACTCCAGTGCAACTTGTTTTTTTTCTTCTTCTTTATTTTGCATTTTATGGCTAGCACGACCTCTACTCAGGAGCAACTTATAGTCCGGAAAATACGGTCCATAATTTAGGATTCTAAAATGTACAATATGATGACTTAGGAGTAGACAATACAACAAAGCATATTTCTCACAACAGACAGAATGATTGTCTTCCTATTTTATGTCCAAGCATTAGTGCTGCACAATATACTGAAAAAATATAGCCATCACGGCTACCCGTGCAATATGCGTATCACATAGACATGAAATACGTTTCATATGGAATTATATACTTTTAACTGAGTTTGAACAATCAGATGCAATCTTAAATGTGCATCGCGATCCAATAAGTGAACAGTGTTGAGGGGCATCACTAACACTAAATGCCTTAAAAAAAAAAAAATTGATATTAAAAAAACACTATCAAAGATCCATTGAGCCTACTTAATTTGTTGCATGAAAAAATATTTCTTTAACCCTTTCATTGCGCCATGGAACCTGATAACATAAGCAGTCCACTGTAGTAACCGCTGTCCCTGAAAGGGTTAATTAGATCATAAAACTCATTTCTTTCGGTACGTGTTAACACAATATCAATATCGCACACCCAGATCGCATGCTTTTCCAATATCGTGCACCCTATGAACCATTAATATTTTTATTCGTGTGATTCAGCTCAAAATAAATTGGTCATGACCGAGATATCCAAAGTAGATGACTATTTAAGTTAAAAATCAAGGTACCCATTGCAGTGAGTAGTGTCATGTTCCCTACCTGATTTATGGGTTTGGTGGAGGTGAGTTCGGAGTTGGAGCTGGGTTGGCCCCTCAACATGGTAAAAGGGTGGACTCTGCTCTTCATCCCCTGAAAAGCTTCTCCTCCTGACTGCCTGAGAGAAGGGCCGCCGACCAACTGGAATTTTCCTCTCTAAACATCAAGCAAACTGTGGTCAGCTAACGTCACACACACAGATCACTTCCCTCTAACATGTTTGGTGAGTCATTTTCTATATTAAAGGAGGCCAAGTTATAAACACTAAAATTTAGAATGACACAACTCCTGGGCATGTGGAATCAAGTTGCCAGAAACAAGTCTGATAAGCAGATGACTCATGAGTACCCAATCTGTCGATTGTGGGCTTGAACCCAAGTCAACCATGAGGGTTGTGGCGAGTGTATTGAGAAAGGCGGGGGAATATTTTTTTGGGGAGATTGTCAGCTACCATCATGCTTCATGTTCTTTTTATCAAATGCTATGCCATTTTTTACCCCAGACGTAATGGGCCGCACATCTTCCAAAAAGTTACATTTTGGACTCAGCAATCCACAGAATGTTTTATCAAAACTCTTGAGGATCATCAATAGGTCTTTTGGCAAATGTGAGACTAACCTTTGCTTTCTTTTTGGACAGCAGTGGTTTTCGCCTAAGAACTCCTCCATCTATCCCATTTTTGGGCAGTGTCTTTATTATGGTCGAGTCATGAACACTGACCTAAACTGAGGCAAGCGAGGTCTGGAGTTCTTTGGATGCTGTTCTAAGTTCTTTTGCAACCTCTTGAATGAGTCGCCGTCGCATTCTTGGAGTTAGTTAGTTAGTTAGTTAGTTAATTTATTGAACATACAATACAACAACAATTGACAAAAGGCAAACAAAATTACAAAAGGAGAAATAAAAATAAAAAGTAAATAAAACAAACATCAGCATCGTTATATGCTCAAAGGAGTAGGAAGAAGTATACAACTTATCTAGTCCTACCCCTTGTTGTGTAATAATATAAATAGATCATTTTTCAATGCAAAAGAAAAGGAAGAGATCTACCTCTCATCAAGTACTTTTACCCTTATGTGTACTGTACTTATCTATTATACACCCTTCTGTTTGTATTTACATACATATATATATATATATACACACACACACACATATACATATACACACACCTACATATATACATGTATATAATTATTCATTCTCCTTTTTATATCAATTGTCTCATATTCATTATAAATACTGCATTTCTTGAATATATTTAATGAGTTGAGTAATTTTAGATGGTTGACCACTCCGTGGAATTGTCTGCCACTGTTCCCAGTTTTATCCATTTCTGTCTTGGAAATGGCTTTGTAACCTTTTCCAGACCAATAGATTTCAATTACTAATTTCTTCTTGAATTTTTTCAGATCGTGGCATGATGCGTTTGTGCTTCTTGAGATCTTGTAGCCTACTTCACTTTGACAGATTCTATTCATGTGATTTCTTGATTCAATCAATGTCATGCTAGGGTGTTGCCTGTGAAATTGAACTCAGCTTTCCCAAAACCAGTTATTTAGTTGGCGACCAGTTCTGAATGAAAACCCCGCCAACTGCCCGAAGACAGCAGGGAGAGGCTCGAGAACGCCCGCGACCCTCGTGAGGATGGGTGGATTAGAAAATGAATGGATGGATGGATGGATGGATGGATGAAACTGCCTTTTGTATTTCTTTGGGTTGTCTCTGTGTGGTATTAAAATTGGTTTGATGAACTGAAATCCTTGTGTGCGATAAATATGGAAAGAACACAGAAATCAGGAAGCGTTTTTGCCCCTTCCCAACCATGGATAACAAATGCCAAATGATTTATGATTAATAAACTCACCCCACATGATGATCATGTGGTCTGAACTGTGCAAAGAGTGAATTTGTCCTGATGAGATTAGAAATTAGTTGTGGCGACCTCAGAAATGGAGGACAGGCTCTGAGTTTTTAGAGTCCTGTAAATGTGATCATTGCTGGTGTGCTTAAACTACACAATTATCACACTAAAAAAGAAATTATTTAACTCATATTACAACGTACAACTTCAGCCAAACCAGAAGAAAAATGCTACGTAGTGAAGTAAAACATTTTAAAACTTTATTGAAGAAAAATTACTTACTTTTCTTTTGGCCTTTATACTGCTGGGCCTTTTTCTTCTGTTTGGGGAGTGACTGAGACATTTCTCTGGTACCTGAAAGAAGAAGATCATATGTAAACATAATTTCAGTGACAATTTTACAGTTTACCCCCAGCGAGTCCCAGGGACTCGCTGATCAGAAAAGTATGAGTACCATTATGCATTTAGTGAGTTCCAAATTTTGAATTCTGAAATGGTCTGCTTATTCAATTGCATATGATAATAACATCAACAACAACATATACATGCAATTATAAACAAATGCTGCAAAAATTTTAATAATTCAGTAAGCAGGCCTGAGGAATTTGGAAATTCACGGTAACCGTTTTTTGGTTCCGTCGGATTACCCAATGGGAAACCACGGTAACTAATTTTGGGTTCCGTAAATGTTCATCATGGGAACCCATTTTTCTATTTTGACTGATATACATAATCAAGAATTCTGAAACTCAAAAGTATGATGTTTCAAGGGTGAATGTTTGAAAACTATCCATGAACAATGAACATTACATCAGCAGCTGTGTACTCCAGGTTTATTCAAAAAAATAAATGGATCAAAATATAGTAGTCATATGGCATCATGAATAGAGCATACCACAAAATCAGAGTATTTTTTTCCAATCTCACACTGCTAAGATGAATTTACTGGTAAGTATTGATGTGGCTTGACATTTTCTTCCCAAAACGATGCATGTGTAATCTACTATCAATTTGACGAAAGAATCTAACACACGTCATCATTAGTTCATTGTTTACAGTTAACATTAGCATGACTACACCTTGTGACGAATGTATTATTCCTAAAGTTACCATGCTACAACGAGTACATTATAGAATAACCAATACTGTTTCATAATATTTTTCATAGCGATTAGCCTATAGATCTAATGACCAATTTGCCTTGTAATCGTGCCTCGCGTAGTATCTCGCTCTCGTGTTCTGTGCATCCGTCACAGGTGAGTTTAGTGATATGCCCTCCGGACGATTCATACGAAAAATCAGACTGGCATTCCGATTTCTTAAATGTCGCAATTAGTAGACCTGTGCAAGTTTTTTTCGCCGCCATCTCAAACTTTCATCCGCGCGATTCCTCAGTTTGCGGACTAAAATAGCAACCCGCATGCACACATAACGTTATATGTTCCGTCCCAGGCCTGCCGTAGTTTTTTTTGTTTTGTTTTGACTGAGAAATTTCCTTGCGTCTCAAAAACGCACATTATTTGGAACTGTGCGGCCCACGGGAAAATTATCCGTCTAGGACGCGGGATGCAGAGGTAAGGAGATGGCTGAATTTGAATCACTGTCTCATGAGCTTGCAATAAGCTTTTGTTTTCTTGGATTTTGGTTGTGTTCTCAGTTGACCTGGGCTGTCTTCGAGTTTTGTTCTAGCCTATTGTTTTTTGATTGTCATTTATACTTTTCATATCTGCTCTACCATTTGATTTTAGCATTGAGTTTTGTTTCGCTTTTTGCAGTGCCACAGTTCAAAGCCCAATCTCCTCTTGTGTCTTGTCATCAGTTCTTCAAGCACACTTGTGTTAAGTGTTTTTCTCTGATAATGACCACATTTTTGAGACAATTAGTGACAATAAGTTTCATTGTTTGGCTGGTCTTACCACTTACTCAGGTGTGATTTGTATATTGCTGCCATCCGGCCAAAACCTCCCATGTCACAATTTGGTAAATTTTACATTTTTTTTCACGGATCTGTCCAGCTGGCCAGTCCACACGTGGGTGTTGTTTTGCAAACTATTCACCAATCTTGCGTGTTAAAAATGGTGGTAACACTTCATAATACCGATTGCTAGCTAACCATTTGTCATGCGTTAGTTAACGATGAAGTCTAAATGAACAATTATGAACTCGTTATTTTCAGAATTCGTGAATACTGAAAGAATAATTTACAGATGATTTAATAATTTGTAAATACATTAGCAAAAGATTAAGTCATAATGAGAAAGTATGAACTCATGATGAATTAATAATAATTATCAAAGAATTAATTTATCATAAATAATTTGCAAATATTTAATAATTAACTCATGATTAAGACGTAGCCATTGTTAAGCGTTATAATGCATTAGCAAAAGATGTGTAGCAAAAAGTCGCGATGAACATATAACACATTTACATAATTTGCAAGTACTGAATGATTATGAATTAATAATTTTCAAATAGGGCGGCCCGGTAGTCCAGTGGTTAGCACGTCGACTTCACAGTGCAGAGGTACCGGGTTCAATTCCAGCTCCGGCCTCCCTGTGTTCTCCCCGGGCCTGCGTGGGTTTTCTCCGGGTACTCCGGTTTCCTCCCACATTCCAAAAACATGCATGGTAGGCTGATTGAACACTCTAAATTGTCCCTAGGTGTGAATGTGAGCGTGGATGGTTGTTCATCTCTGTGTGCCCTGCGATTGGCTGGCAACCGATTTAGGGTGTTCCCCGCCTACTGCCCGAAGACGGCTGGGATAGGCTCCAGCACCCCCCGCGACCCTAGTGAGGATCAAGCGGTTCGGAAAATGAATGAATTTTCAAATATTACAACAATGATTAAGTCTTGATAAAGGAATATCCTTTTTCAAAAAAAAAAAAAAAAAAAAAACTAATAAATGTTAATGGAGCTGAACATCTTAAATCTGGAACCATTAGAATCAGTCAAAAAAGATGAAAGTTATAAGTAGAAATCTTTCAATTAAAGTTTTGCGATAGCCTTGGCCACCCTGTGCGCAAGCTTGCCATCTTGAGGATAGAAGTCTAGCGCCGCCCCCGAAGGCCGCTGTGGTGAAGTGCACCTGCCTCTCTTACAGTGGTTTTAAATTGAAAACGCACACCATAAAAAATGCTTTCAGGACTTAACGATTAAAGATATTGGTTCCACAAAGGGCTCATTAGAATGTCATGGGTTTGAGGAACATGATCATATTTCCATTGAAGTATTATTAGGGTTTTTTTTTCATTAAGATTTAAAAAAATGACAGAATTTGGGCACGTTAAAAATAGAATAACTTAAAAAGAGAAGGTAGTAACATTAACACTGTGGTCAATGGAAGCTTTGCTTGACTCCAAGCTTCAAGTCAAATAAAAGGTACAAATTCGTTTAATCACATGCACACAGACACACAAATGTTTTTGTTTTGTTTTTTGTTTTTTTTTCCCCTCTACACCCCTCGTGATTGACTAGGGGACAAGCAAGCCCACGAGCTATCGGTCAATCGCGATTGTCGTATTGGGCACCCCCTGCTCTACACCATCAACTCTATAATTGTATGAAAGCTGAGGCCTTCACATTTTACTCTACAACCATAACTTGTTATTCCCATACATTATTGGTGTGAAGGCTGAGACCATCACACATTATTCCGATACTGTACTTAATTGTATAATTGCTTTTAGAATTCACATGTAATTCTAATTATTTGTCATTATTGTGTGAATTCTCTGACTGTATATTATTATATCCATGAACAAGGAGCTAAATGCTAAAGGGTTTGACCACGATGATGAACTAAAATTTAATAGCCATTCAGTATAAGTTCACATAAAACAGTGCCTTTCAATAATCCATTCCACCGTTGCCATTTGACATGGATGGATGGATGGATTTATTTTTATCTCATATTATTCAGTTGTATTTAATAATGTTTTCACATACATAAGAGTTCAAGGGTTTTCCCAGCATGATTTATATATGATTCAATATCCATTCAGTATAATTTCATGTCAAATAATGTTTTTTTAATGATCCTTTTCAGGTATACTACGTGATGGCAAAAATTGTTTTGTATTTTCATTTATTTTATATTTTAACAAATGAACATTTGCACAGAGGTTAGCGCAGATGAACTCCGTGTATAACAAATGTAAAGGCCACAGCATTCACACAATAATTAACTAACAATCATTAGAGAAGAATCTGTGCCTGGTGGTTGTCAGTTGGCAAATACGTCCGGTGCAAAAAAGGTGGCCAAGGGCGGCCCCTTGGCCACCTTTTTTAGCATGCTAAAGAAGGTGGAAGTAATGCACCAAAAGTATTTGCCAACTGACAAAGAAAAAAAAAAAAAAAAAAAAAAGGGGGGGGGGGGGGGGAATTGAGTAGTCGTCATGCATAATCGCCGGCGGCCACCTCCTTCAGAATGCTAAACACGATAAAAAAGATAGCAGTAAATGCACCAAAAGCCAACCACTAGAAGAAAGTTGAAGAAATGTAAGGAGATGAAGTAGTAGGCGCAGTAGTCGTCATGGCAACTCATGTGTGACCTATCGCTAGTGCAGCATGTGGCTCCCGCCATGAAAAGGAATTGCTATTTCCAGAGCTAAAAGGTGCAATACCGTATTTTCACGACCATTCGGCGCACCGTATTGTTGGGCGCAGTCTCAGTAACGGGTGCTATTTCTGTATTTGACACACACAAAACGCACTGTATTATTGGGCGCAGCCAGGCATGGTAAAACATACGCCAGCTTAAACATACGGCATGCATGCACGCACGCTAAAAACACGTTAGCTTGAAGCATACGGTAGCATGCATGCACGCTAAAACATACCAGGTTTGTTAGCTTAAAGCATACGGTAGCAGCTAAGACATACGGACACACGCTAAAAACACGTTTTTAAAAAGGCAACGGAAGCAAAACTGAGTTCGGTTGTACTTTATTTAGCCATTTTACAATGTACTCACGCGACTGGTACCTGCTAGGGGCGTGCCTTTAGCGTCCTCCTACAC